ATCCAATACCATTTGCATATAAGCACATGCTTACTATGTACACATATGACATGTACATCTTCTACATACTAACCTCAACCCGGTCCGAGAATCAATAGCTCGTTCTAGAAATAATCAAGCATTCAATAAATTCTTGCTTCAATTTTTCTTATTAACTTTGACTCCACAAAAAATCACATCACTAAGAGTTGTTTAACTTCAATCAATATGTTACTTGGAATTTTTCTACAATGTCGTTTGTCTAATCCAATGCCATCGCTTCTCTTTCACAAGTGGGTGATCACAACAGTTGCAACTTCAACTTGCTTGAAAAAGTTGCGACTAAGGTTACATTTTTTGCAACATTTTGGACTCTCGAGCGAGAATTGGAAAAGCCCTCTTGCAAAAGAATCGCAATGCCATCGAAAACAAGAGCATTCAAAACCCCAACTAACTCTTAAAGCATTTCCTTTCACATTGCTTGAGAAAAAAGAAATAAAAGAGAATGTTTTTTTTGATACCTCTAAGAACCCATCAGTATCAGAAGCGAGAGCTTGAAGGGCCTTTTGAGCTTCATTCAACTTAAGCCCAGCTCTACTGGCAACATCACCAATAGTAACCCTACCACCACACGCATCAACAGCTTCCATGGCACGGTTTCTGACATCAGAAGGTAACTTATCAGTCTCCACAACACTTCCAGGCCTAATTCCCATGGTTTTTGTAACATCAGCGGTTGCTTTGACAGAAAATCCAATGGGGGTCTTAGGGCTTGGAGATTTGAAGGAAAGTTTATGGAGTGTTTGGGTTCTGAGGAGCAAGGAATCAGGTGGTTTGAGACGGACAGGCGGTTTAAAACGGACAGGTGAAGGGGAATATGAAAGGGGGGTGGATATTGAAGCCATTTTTGTGCGGAAATGAGAGTGCCTCTTTTGTGCTGGAAAGGGGATGTGTTGGAGTGTGAGGCTGTGTGGTGTGCTGCGAGGGAGAGAGGAGACGATGATGTTGTTTTTTCTTTTTCTTTTTCTTTTTTTTTTAATCCAACAGGATAAAGATATGGTCAAACCTCAAGTTAGTCCCCGAACTATAACTCCAATTTTAACCCAGTACTAAGAGAAATTTGGTCTCATGCAAGATTAAAAAAAAATAATAGTATTAATTCAATGAGTTCAATCTTCAATTTGACTGAGAGCTGATTGTTATTGTTGTAATAATTATTTTTTAATTTTTTTTACTTGAAAGTGTATTAATATAATATTTTAAAAAAATTAAAAATTTATTTTTGATACTAATACATCAAAAAAATATAAAAATTAAAAAATTATTAATTAAAAGAAAAAAGAAAAATAAAAAAATATTTTTAAAATGAAAAAAAATAAACAAATGAGCTTTAAACAACAATCAAAACTTGAATTTAAAAGTAACATATTAAAATGTATTAAAACTTATCTTTTTATCCTACTTTTTATTTATTTGACAAGACTAAAAAACTTTCAAATTAAAGTACAATATTCTATAGGTAGGTTTCTTTCTTTCGATTTTGATCCATGAATATTCATTAAACAAAGAATAATCTCTTATCTCAATTGTCTCACACCCTAAGTTTTACACATAGATTATTTGCAATGATTTTATGAAAAAATATTAAAAGATTTCTACAAAACAGTGTTGTTTAATGGAGATGGACAATCAAACTTGAGATTCAATTGAATATTTTCTGAATTTTTAATGATTGAATAGAGAAAAAAATATGTTTCAGGACTCATCCAAAAATACCTGTCTAGTTGGGATGGCTTAATTAAAATTTAGCCAAAAATATTCTTATGAAGATATTTTTCATTTTCGAAAAGTGAAAAATTAGATGCATTTAAATATGTTTTATTTGTTTATCCAAGACCAAACCAAAAATCATAGACCTGGGCTGGATTTAGATAATCATGGACCTTAGAATTCAAGTTTTTGAGCTTACAACTCTCTTTTAAGCTCAGGTGCGCACACCCTAATTCAGCGGGTGATCAAAAGAGAAAAGCTTGGCCTCTTCTTGTCGCACAAACTGAGCAAAGGCAGTTCTGTCTTCGCAGTTTCTTTAGCAAAAACAAACAATGGCAAGTGGCAGCAGCAGCCTGCATTCCTCTGCTTCATCCTCCCACAAGCTTCTTGCTTCAAGAAAGGTCTTTAGCTCTTCATTATTTCATAGTTTTCAAAGGCACCGCAGATACAGATTCATTGCATCCTTCCCTTCTTCGCATGCCACCTCTAGTATGCTCTTCTTTTGTTTCCACTCTTTTTTTATATCTCGTTATTCTGCTACGGTTATACTTTCGCTAAGATTTAGTCCTTTGTCACTAGTTCTAACTTGAAATTCCTGATCTTTTTGTTCTTGCAGGATCTTTTTCTTGCTTGTCTATAAAATGTGCTGTACGTTTTCGACCTTGCATCGATATACACAAGGTACTTGATTCAATATGTTGTTGATGCGGGTCCCCACCAGTTGTAATTCTCATCATGGTTCTAACAGCCATCTTCAAAATTATTGGATTTTCTTATCTTTCTTTCTTTGTTTAATCCTGTAAGATTTACCAATTTGAATGCTTGTAGAAATTGTTTAAAAGTGAGAAAACTGTGACAGAGAAGTTCACGAGTGAGAGTGATTCGATTGCTATTTTAATTACCCTTTTTGAATTTATACGTCAATTGTCCAATTGGTGATATGGTTGCTTGTGTTTTAACAAATAGAATCAAGGAGTTGCATTTTAGCATCATTCAGTTTTTATTGGCTATTCTATTCTTGAAGTGAATTTTGAAATTGGGTTCTTAATCGCAATTGTCGCGCTACTTCTGTGTTGGGTTGTCCTCGAGTGAAAATGGGTTCAAGTTTGTGTTTAAATTATGATTTGTTTTTCAGGGTAAAGTGAAACAAATTGTTGGGTCTACCCTCCAGGATTTGAAGGAGGAGGATGGTTCAGCTCTGGTGACAAATTTTGAATCAGATAAGACTGCAGCAGAGTTTGCAAATTTGTATAAAGAAGATGGGCTCATGGGTGGCCATGTGATCATGCTTGGAGCTGATGATTTTAGCAAAGCCACAGCCATTGAAGCCTTGCGTGCCTATCCTGGTAGGTCTATATGTTTTCTGTCTCTGGTGGATTGGATTTGTTCTCTACTGTTTGAGATGTTAGCTTTAGCCATTTCTGTGGTTCTTTCAGAAAATGATTCCAGCAAAATACAATTTTACCTATCCCGCAAATAATTCATTGCAGTTGATGGTAGCCTTTGGTTTGTGTAATTTCTTCTCTGTTTAAGGATACACCCTTACATAGAACAAAGGTGATTTTATTTGGTCTATTCTGTTGTTTACTTGTGTTTGTGTTTGCTGAAAAAAAAGAGCTCTGTTTGTCGAAGATATTCTGGATCTACTGGCACTATTGAGGAAATTTGCAATTAAGGTGCTGTTTTATATGTAACATGTGAGAGTGCTAATTTCCTCGAACACGGAAAAAAAAGATCATGTTATGATTTATACTGAGATTTTCAAATGCCGTCAACTGTATAATGAATATGATCTTTTACTTCTCCATAGTTGATGGGATGTTTAAAACTTACAGATTTTTCCTCTGCTGAACTTACTGCGAGGATTCAAAAAATCTAGGCGGCTTGCAAGTTGGAGGTGGTATCAATGTAAACAATGCTTTGAGCTACATAGAAGAAGGAGCCAGCCATGTTATTGTTACTTCAGTATGTTAAGAACTTTTTTTCTCTCTTTTTACCTTCAATTGCAACATGTTATGCTTTCTTTTTTAAAAAAAGTTTGCTCTGATAGTTTTATAGAATTTTCAGTCTAATTCCTTTGTTTGCCATGCTTTATTTTCTCTGGCATATTGGTAGTTCCTGCTAGGGCGCATATATTTATATTTAACACAGGGTGAGAAGAAGAAAACAGTAGAAAACAGCAATCTCAGCAGAATAAAGTCTAAAATATGGAAGAAAATTGAGCTGCAATGAGATAAAAGTTTAGGGTTCACCAAGAAACCTCAAAAATCTTAATAAATTGATGAATAACAAAGGATGTTTATTAAGATAACCCTAGCGACCTATTTATACTTGTTAAAGCCCTAGTCATAGTCACAATGTAAAACAACTTAACCTCCATGGAAATACTATAAAATGTCAAATGCTAATCACGTGACACATATAAATAATTAAATAACCCAAATATCAGAAATAAAATAAAATAAAATAAAATCTATAGAAAGTCCCTGCATCAATAATGCTCTTTATTAGGAAGTGCTCCTAGGAGCGTGAAGTCCATGTGATAGTGGTAAATATTTTGAGTATTGTGTTTTAATGTGCTTGGAACAGAGTCACGTTAAGTACCCTTGAAGAAAGTATTCCTGGAAATCCCTTATTTTCATTTATCATCCTTTTGTTAATTTTCTTATTACGTTTTTCTTTAAATAGTTTTTTTGTGTTTCTCTCACAGTATGTCTTTAACAATGGTCAAATGGACCTAGAAAGGCTGAAAGACCTTGTTCGTGTTGTTGGAAAGCAGAAGCTTGTTTTAGACCTTAGCTGCAGAAAAAAGGTAAGAAAGCAATAGTCACACATCTCTCTCTTGTTGTAAGCATTGACTGTGACTTAGAGATATCCAATTCGAACTGGGAGTTGTGCGTGAACATCTGACATTTCTACAACTTAATTTTTAATTACTGCTGGTATTTTATGTTTTACATATTATTATTAGTACCAATGTCATGTCTCAAGTATTGTAGCCTAAACAATTTATCTTTGAAGATATCTAGTGTCATCTCCGTTCACAAATTAAAAGGTACTTTATTTTCAACAACTTGTAATAACCTTCTAGGTGCTGTTTCTGATGTGCAGGAAGGTAGATATGCAATTGTCACTGATAGATGGCAGAAGTTCAGTGATGTATATCTTGATGAGAAAATATTAGAATTTCTTGCAAACTATGCTGATGAGTTTTTGGTTCATGGTGTTGATGTTGAAGGCAAAAGGTAAGTTCTGAGTGTTGCCTCGTTGCCTTAAGTTCTCTACTGTCATTTCTCCTGCAAGTTTTATCATCTAGTTTCTGTTAGATATATAAATAGTAGCAGATAATGATCATGACTCAGTTTAGGAGATATTTACTTTTCATCAACCTTATCTTTTCTTCTCCCAAAACAACCTGTCACTGCATGGTTTCTGCTTACTTTTTTGTGCTTTCCATTGTGAGTAATATGATCATTCCATTACATATCTATGAATTCCGTGCTATGAGTTCTTGTTGGAAGACTGGTCTCTGATTGATCTGCTGCTTCTATCCTGCCTCTACTTTTATTTAAAAACCCCTGGTTTTATTAAACAAAAGGATCCTGCCTTGTGTTAGTAATGAATTCATGATTTGGGTAATACATCAAAGCTACATACCATACAACATTCCACAATTATTGAAGTAATCAATAAAGCCTGGAGCAGATTTAATGTGTTCAGGAAGCAGGAAAGAAATGTGTTCAATCAGTTACTATATACCCTACAATAGCGATGCTTTTAATGTGGAATCTAAAACCTCTTCTTCTGAAATTTCTTCAACTCTCTGGGGCTTTTTTCTTTTTCACTGTAAACCATTTCAGAACATTGATGCTATTCTACTCTCTAATTTTAGGCGCCACATGATATATCTTCTATCCAGGATTTTCTAAAAAAAAAAAAGTTAATCCTATAAAACTCCTTTTCATTATATGTACATCACATGCACCAAACTACTGTTTATTGCAGGTTGGGAATTGATGAAGAGCTTGTGGCATTGCTTGGCAGGCACTCACCAGTAAGTGACTTGGGAGTATCATTTTGTATACATGACTTTCTTTCTCTCGTGCTTGTGTCCAGTTACCTTCCTATGCTTTCACTTCACTACTGCTATTTTGTTATGAAATGCCCAAGGGCCAATGTCCTTGACATGATATGATTAATCCAGTTCATGCCAGAAAATGTTGTGTCCTTTTACGTTGATATTGTAGTAACCAAAAGAAACCATCTAATCCTGATTATTCTTTGTGGATTAATGCTAGAAACCAGGAATGTAATGTGCATGCCTAAGTTACAATTGCCATCAATTGATATCCTCTGTAGCTGTTGCTCAGGGGAGGCAAAGTGGTTGTGAGCCATTGCTCAGCATTTTCTTATGGACATGAAACCGATCCTGCTTACTGAATCCACGATTAACAGCTTCCAACTGGAACACTAGCTTTTTGTAATGGAACAAGACACGGCGGATCACTAGGCATTCATATTTGTCTGTCTTTATGCACTGTTTTAATGTATGGATTGCTAATGGTTTCTTTTGGGTATGTCAGATTCCTGTGACTTATGCTGGCGGTGTGACAGTAATGAATGATTTGGAGAGAATAAAGGTGGCAGGGGACAGGCGCGTGGACGTTACTGTGGGCAGTGCTCTTGATATATTTGGGGGTAACTTGCCATACAAAGATGTTGTCTCTTGGCATACGCAGCAGGAGACTTTGATGGTTTAGTTCCTTCTAGTTGCTGTGTTTTGTATGATCCCACACTCAAAGTTCCAAGTTTCATTTAGTTTTTGAAGTTTCTCAGATCCTTATAGATGATGCCTGTAGACCGCGAAGGATTCCAAGTTGTATCTTGTTTTTTACTGCATTTTGTTTCGGCAACCTCGTATGATCTGGGTTTAAGATGACTTTTGAAGTTGGGATTCTGATGTGGGTTATAACAATCAAGAGATAAAAAAGAAGAAGATAAAACACCAAAGCTAGAGAAAGTAGACAACAAAACAGAGAAGCTTAGCTCAACTCAACATAATATAAACAAAGGAAACGGGACTCTCAAAATAACTTCTAAATAACATGATTTGAATTAAATATTAATAGAAGTTGTTTTCCAAGACCACTAGAAAGTTTTCAAGACAGCTACTTTTTAGGAAAACATGATGGAATACTTTATGTTCCAGGTGGAAAAGAACTTCTCAAGGAGTTAGGATCATGTTTACCATGATAGGCTGATAAATCTCGAATATTGAAAGTAGAATGAGTCTAGATATTTGAAGGAAGCTGAATTTGTGTAGACGTTATCATTAATCTTCTCCGATATTTGGCACAGACCAATTTTCTTTTCCTTGAGCTTGTTATGAGAACCAACATGAAGTCTGTCCTTTATCAAACAAACCCAAACAAGATCTCCTTTATTAAAAAGCTCGATGCGTCCATGGACATTTGTAGCCTCTTGGTATTTGAACCTTCTAACGTCTTCCTGAATTCGTACCGAAGTGGACTTAAGCTTTCTTTTTTGACATTGGAGAACTTTGAACAGCTGCTAGATCTAGTTATGCCTCGACACCGTTCCATAAATGGTTTGAAATGGACTCTTCCTAGTAGAACGATTCACAATTGAATTATAAGCAAATTGAGATTGAGTAAGCACCAAATCCTATTGTTTAGGCCTTTTAGAAGCAAAACTTTGAAGCAAGTGTACTTCAGTTTGCCCATTAGTTTAAAAAGGATAATTATTGCTATAAATCAAACAAATCACAATTCATTTCTACAAGGGTCTCCTAAAATGAATCAGAAAATTAGTGTCATGATCACAAAGTAAAAGACTTTAGAAAGGCATGAAATTTCACTACTTCACTGAACTAGAGGTTAGAAACATAGGAAGCATCTATCGTCTTTTCACAAGTAATGAAATGTTCCATTTTAGAATAACTATCAACAAACCAATCATAAAATTCAACCTTACATCTTACATCTTTCCTATGAGCTTTCAGAATTTCAAATGAGTATAGGCATCGGTATTTTGAGCTTTGACCCTTGCAAGTTTGGCAAACCTTGCACTTCTTCATAAAACAAGTGACATCATGATAGATAGCTTGCTATAAATACAGATCTTTAACAAGAAGCACAGGCTTGTCCGGTTCAAAATGTTCGAAGTTCTTTGACAATGCATTCCTAAAAAGAACATTTTGGAAGGCACAAGCAAGATCCCTTAAATAAAAAGTCATATTGAAGCATATACCCTTCACAATTACCTTCCTTGCAAGTCTCCACACATCAAAAAAATCTTTATCATCTTTGTACAAGTCTCGGATGGAGTCAAAGCCTTCAAGTTGAACACTCAATGCGTTTAAAATTGTAATGCCCAATAATTTCTTAACGTTATAAACTTCATTTAGCCTTGGACTTATTAGAAAAATATGGTAATTTTTTTTATTTGGCGTAATAAACTTCATTTAGCCTTGGACTTAGAAAAATATGGTAATTTTTTTTATTTGATTGAGTTTCCCTTAAACATTAATATCATGTTGTCGACGACACATCAACATATTGATGTGTTCATCATAATTATAACATGTTCAATTATCTTGGATTTTATATGATCTCAACATATAACAACATTAGATTATGTCTAGTTTCACAATTTTAATATTTTGTATTCATTTGATATATACACAATATAATAATTAAATATATTAAACAATACAATCCAATTCATGAAAAATACAAAAGGGCAAAGTCATGATATATTATAGCCTAGTAAATAAACTCTAGTGACAATATTATAAATATCATAAATTTTAAATTTGTTGGTATATTAAAATAAATCATTTTACCCTCTGAGCTCTTATATCATAAATGTCTTGACCACGGTATGATAATTAAGTTTTCTTCGATATATATATATATATATATATATATGATTCTTTATTTTTCAACTCAATAAATAATTAAAATCATATTATTCGTAAATAATATAAATTATCAACCAATTCCTTAAATTACTCGTTTTACTTAATGGTGTTGTTACGCATGTGCAACGTTGTTGAGCTATAAATCAAGCGATATAATTCAACCTCTTTAAAAATCCCCTCAACTCTTTCTTTGTCTTTAGGGTTGGCATGGATTGGATGGTTTTTGCTTTATCGTGATTCATCTTTATGCCTTTGTCACTTACTACAAATCCTAGCAATTTGTCAGATTTAATCCCAAACTAACATTTTGCAGGGTTGAGCCTTAGTTCATACTTTCTCAATCTTTCAAATAACTTACTCAACACCTTAACATGATTTTCTTCCTCTTTTGACTTAGCAATTATATATAATCTACATGCATCTCAATTTCTTTAGGTCTTAGTTCATACTTTCTCAATCTTTCAAATAACTTACTCAACACTCTAGCATGATCTTCTTCCTCTTTTGGCTTAGCAATTATATCATTTATATACATCTTAATTTCTTTGTGCATCATATCATGTTTGTCCATACTATTATGAGCCTTTTCCAGTTTGGTTTTTGGTTTCGGATTTCTTCAATTGAGTCCCTAATTGGTCATCAAACTTCAATAGTTATATAATTAAGCTCTTGATTTGATCAAATTAACTCTCAAAAATTATAATTTGACCTAGGAACTTTAATTTTTTTCCAATTAAAGTCCAAATTGACTTCAAAATCAATTTTTCTTGCAATCAAACCCTCTATAAATTCAATTTAAATTTTAATTGAGTCCATAAATATCTGATTTTGGACTTTTCTTTCTCAAATTGAATTTTCTTTGTCAACAAGGCTCTCATATTTTTAAACCTCCTTAACCAATTTTTGACTTTTTTAGCATTCTAGGATTCTTTTTTCACTGTTATTATTTTTTTGGGTTTTTTCAAACATATATTTTTAATTTTTTTTGTATTTTTGTATTTTATATGGAGATCTAAAAATGAGTTACAACAGGTGTTTTAATATATTGTCATAAACTTTCCACATTAGTCCATGCTTATAATTCATTTCCTTTACTTCTTATTTAAAGTCTTATTTGACTTGTTAAGCAATATCCTACCTCACAAGATAACTACACCACTTACTCAAAAATAACATTAATTTTCTTTGAATTATCCAATAATTCAATTCTTTAGCTTCACTTTTTATGCTATCAATTTACATGCTTGACCTCATGTTGCTTTTCTTTTATTTTTGTGTCAGTTCAGGTTAATATCCTAATACCCTTAGCTTACCATTACCTTTCATGTTTTACTAATTCTTTTACTATTAATGAACTTATTTCCATTAAAAACCACATATTTAGTGCATAGATAATTTCAACCCTGGGCAAATCATTTACCATGGATTTAAAATATCACAACAAGTTCTTCCTTATGCATTCAATATTGAACTGAAACTCTCCTCACTCTTTACGTTAGATAACTTATGCATTCAATATTGAACCGAAACTCTCCTCACTCTTTACGTTAGATAATCATTTGTAGTCATTTGCCAGCTCTATCAATGTTAATAAAACTTTTCTTTCATATAAGTAGTCATGCAATCCTTTGTTATCATATAATTTTATGATTTAAAATATATTCTATGATATTTTACACATACACGAAATTCTAATTCTTAAAGTATGGCAATTACATCTTATCAAGATAATTTTAGAATACAATGCATATATACGCTTAGAATCTTTAGATATACAATACCCAATGGTCAATGGGCTTTCATTTTTTCAGTATTTTGTTGGCGACTAAGTCAACCACCTTTTCTTTATTTTGTTTTCATACGGTATAATTATTTATCTCATCCTTCACTGGGATTAGATTTTCATTAATTTAATCTCATTAATTCAATAATCAATACCATAAATATAAATTTACTATCTTTATTTAACAACTAGTTATACTTAGTAAACATTTAATACCACAAATACAATTCCTTCACAATATGATACAACTATATCATTTCTTAAAGATTTTATAACATTTTACACACACACAATCACAATTTCACATTACTTCAATACACTCAATCAAAATAGTTCAAGTACATACATATTACTCACTTATACAAGTTTTAGAAAAACAATATATTTATCCTAGTATAGCTTACTCGTCATTTATGACTTTATTGTCTAAGTGATTTTTTTAACACTTCTACAACACAATTGCACATGACATTAAGTAGATCCTTTAATCTAAACCTTCATTTTAATACCGCTACTAAAATCTCAGTCACCAATGTCCCGCACTAACACCTCTAGTATCTCATAGATTCTAGTCAAATCTACAATCACGATCATTAGTACATCATATTAAAGCCTCTGGTATCTCATGAATACTAATCAAATCATCAATCCCGATAATCAGTGAAGTCATCAATACATTACACTATCACCTCTAGTATACCATGAATATTAGTCAGATCATTAATCTTGGTTATTAGTGCATCACACTGACGCCTTTAGTATCCTATAAATAGTCAAATCATCAATCCCGATCATTAGTTTTTCACACTAACACCTCTAGTATCCCATAGATACTAGTCAAATCCCAAATCTTTTCATTTAACATTTTATAAGTGCATTATATTAATGCCTTTAGTACCCTATGAATAGTCAAATCATCAATCTCGATCATCAGTGCTTCACATTAACAATTTTAGTTTCCTATAAATAGTAATCAAATCCCAAACCTTTTTGTTTTAATTTCCATAATAAGTAATAATATACTTTATAATTAGAGAAATAGAAAATAAATAAATTCAAACAATTTAAATAATGATTATTAACGGAGCAAAAATATTATCACCAAGTAACTAATTTTTTTTATTTTTTTTCCACGTCACATAACATAATTAATCAAATAAATAAATTAAAACAATTTAAATAATGATTATTAAAGGAGCAAAAATATTATCACCGAGTAACTAATTTTTTTATTTTTTTCCACGTCACATAACATAATTAATATCAATGCATAATACATTAAAATAATTTTTAAATGCAAAAAACTTAAGAAATATTCTTAATAGAAAAAAGTGCAGAGCATCCACCTAGAGTTTGTGCTCATGATGCTGCATTTTATTAATGTTTTGATCTAACAACCTTCCATGTATCAACAAGGTTTAATCATCATCATCACATCAACCATTACAAGTGTTTTATTCCAATTTTTGTTTAACTAATATTCTTAAATTAACAACTAGAAAACCTTTAAAATCGCACACACAATGAACACTTTCTATATTCATATTTATTCTTATAAGTTTAATTGTTAAAACCCTTGATTTCATAATAATTAAAAGTACAAATAAGACAAACATTAGATCCTCCCCATATTATAAGGAATTTTGGTTGAATAGACTAACTTGAAAAAACTATAAGTTTTCATTTACTTCTCACTTTGGTAATCTATTTTTAATTACAATTAGTCACATTTCAACATATATCTACACACTCAAAATATAATTTCAAAAGCCCATCCTTTTTATTTCTAATTTGGCCAAAACCTTAAACATGGTTTCCTTGGGTTTCTATTCAAACTTCCCAGTAACCTAGCCATGCAAATACATCTCAAAATTCTTATTTAACAAAAATATCATATCAATTCAAGGCAATAATTATATTTTCTTATATACTTAGTTTTAGTCAATTCTTATTTCAAGAGAAACATAAATTCCTTTTATAATTTTATGAATTTAGCTCTATGATCATTCATTAAACATATCAAACAACACTATTAAGCACAAATAACATAATAATTCAAGGCACAATTCAATTCAATTCTTCCTCTAATTGTTCTAGTCGGTCAAATTGCCTTATAAAGAGGTATAGATTTTTTTTAAAAAAAAATCCTTTCTAATTTCTCATTAGTCATTCATGCTACACTTGAACAAACATATTTAAATCTAAATATCTCGACAATTTAAACTAACAAACCCCTTTTTTCTTTTTTTTCATCCTATGCTAAAACTAGTATTCAAAAGAAATATAGGTGGTCTTATATACTTTCATGCAATTAACACCATACTCAATCTTTAAACACATCATATTAAGTTGAGTGGTTATGCTTATAAAAGGGATTCATGTTTTCCTTCCAAATTTCTCACTAATTCCACATTATTCATTAGTTATTTATGCCTAAAAACATGATTCTACACAAAGATCATCATTTCATACTACCCAACATACAGAAGTCAAAGTTCCATAATATACACATAACTCACCAAGCTTCAAAACAAGTTAAAATCATAACTAATAATGATATGAGTGGTTTTTACTTCCTAATAGTAAGGAATCAAGAAGAAACTTCTAAGAAAACCCAAGTTTTTTGTACCTTCTCCTCTTCCTCTCTCTAATTTTTAATTTTTCTCTTTTCCAAGCTTAAGACCCCTTGAAGGAGTCAAATCATCCTTTTTAGTCCTTCTAAAACCTTTGTTTGTCACTTAAATGTAGTTTTTCTCTTCTTTTTTTTAGCATTTTTTTCAATTTTATCTCAAAATGAACTAAGAAAATGAAGGAGACAAATGTATCCCCTTGCATCTATTGGAAAGCTTATTTTATAGCCAAAGGTGTTCGGTATTTTTTTCAATTTTATCTAATGAAGGAGACAAATGTCTCCCCTTGCATCTACTGGAAAGCTTATTTTATAGCCAAAGGTGTTACTTTTTTCTTTTTATTTATAGTTTTACCCTTATAATATCTTATAAAATATGCCCGGATTCTAATCTAATTCTTAAGACGTTGTCAAACTCTAACTCTAATTGACTTGAAATTTCAACTCAATGTAGAAAAATATATCAAAAGATACCCTGTAAAATTTTAGCTTGATTTAATAATCAAATTGAAAGTTACGTATAATAAAGTAAAGTAGTTGGTTTATGATTTTTCATCAAAAATTTAAATTTTTTCATTTCATCCTTGCATAAGTCATACTAGTCATTCCTCTAGCTTCTTGGGATCATTTTCTTATTCCTATAATATTTTTTTTAAAATAGTAATAGCTCATTGTCGGTTATAACAATCGACTAGTTCTTATTGGCATAACCAATCAAATGGAAACATTACGACATCCCATTTCTAGTGGTCCGACATGTGTGCACGGTGTTGTAGTAACTGAGCTTTGATGAAATTTGTTTTTTTCTTTCTCATTTATCTGTTCTCACCTTGAATTTCACGTTAGCCCTTCTAAAAATTAAATACATCTTGTTAGTTTGTATTTGTAAAGAATTTTGAACCTTATTCTTTTTATTGCTATTTATTTTGCTTTTAATGCTTTTTGAGGTTGATTTATTTTTAATTTCATCCCTTAATATTTTATTTCATTTAATTTTTATATCTAATTTAGTTCTTATTCTTTTTATTATTATTTTATTATTATTTTATTATTTTATTGATTTTTTTTTCAATTTGATCCCTCAATATTTTATTTCATTTAGTTTTTGTATCCATTTTTATATTTATTCTTTTTATTGCTATTTTTTTATCCTTTTATTGATTAATTTTATTTGTCAATTTAGTCTTTCATTATTTTACTTCATTCAATTTTATATTAAATATGGTTCTCATTTCTTTTATTGTTATTTGTTTAATTTTTTTTTTTAATTTTGGATGATTCGAGATTTTGCTTCATGATTTTTTTCATTTTTGCGTTCTATAGGTAATCATGATCTCATGATCCGACTCATGAGTTTCAAAGATTAGCCTAGTTGAACTTTGATCTTTTTTAGGTTCTTTTTTTTAAAAATTTATTTTTTCAATTATATCCTTTCATATTAGATTATTGATCCTTGAGCTTCATGATTTTTTATGCTTTTTTTTTTAGTTATCTCAATCTCATATCTCAAGTCGTAGGTTAGCCAAGATAATACAGATTAACTCTAGGTTTTTTTTATGTTTTTTAATTGATTTTTTTTTCAGTTTTTTCTTTTATAATTTAGTTTGTTTGAGAGTTGGCATCTTTTCTTTCATAATTTAGTTTGTTTGAGAGTTGGCATCTATTGTTATATTTATTTATTTTTTTGTACAAGGTTATTCCAGTCTTAAGACCAGTCCTTGAATTTGGCATAATGACTCAAGTAGGGTTTTTTTTGTCCTTTATATATATTTTTTATGTTCATCCTTTAATGTTTGATTTGCTAATAATTAAGCTTTATTTTTTTTAATTTTTTTCTTTATAAATTTATCTCATTCTCATTTAATTTTTTTTATTATCCAATAAGATCGTTAAGACCTTTTAAGAATATTTAAAGGGTATCTTTTTATAATATTAGAAGGAATTCATTTTTGGCAGGATGTTGTTTTTTCAACTATTCATTGGCTTTTTTTATTCTATTTTTATTGCTTTTTGTATTTTTTAATTATATTATTAAATTAATTAAGATTATTAAATTCATTTGAATCAATGATTCAGGTGCTTATTTTTTATTACTTCTTTATAAACACTATCATTATTTGAAGGTTTTTGAAATTCAACAAGTCCAAATGAGTCAGCTATCTAGTTTACAATACAATGATCAAGTCCTATGTAACCAAGAAAAAATAGAGTAACAAACAAAAATAGTTGATACCTTCCCATATCATTTAAATTGATTTTATTTCTTAAATGATTGTATTATAAATGGATGTTTAGATGTGGACCTTATTTAAATATTTTTTATTAATTTTATTTTACAAGAAATATGAGCTGTGACTGCAATATCTTTTACGAAGAAGAAGCTTACACACTGGGGGATATCAATTTGTCTATTTTTATTAAGGATATAATCACTGTTATTAAACTGGCAAGTTAAACCGAACCTCGCCTGATTTAAGTTCTAAAAAAGCTAGAAATAATTAATCCGGCTAAATTCATGCAACTTTACATTCACTTATTTAATTTTTATAAAAAAATATTAAAATATATTTTTTAACTTTTTCTAAGATAATTAAAACAAAATTATTTTAATTAATACGAGTTAACCAGCTATGAGTTATATCATAAATTAAATTATAAACAGAATCAGAATCAGGTTTAATAACTTGATACACCACAAGTTTTGGTTTAATGTTATGGTTTGATTACTTCTACTAGTAATTGGTAATAAATAATGGAGATATTGTAATTTGTTACGATGGTTTTTTTTCCCCGCCATCTCTCTCTTTTATTAAACCTCTGTGAATGATGACAACATTCAAAATATGCCCAGGTTGATTCGAGGGCAGCAAATATACAAGCTAATATGTCTTTACCGGTGACCGTAGGAAAGTCTAAGGAACCGGTGGTAAACACCCGGTCACAAGCAACGATTGGACTTGTAAAATTTTCCGATCCTTCACTGAATAGCATCAAACGTTCTGTCATCTAACAATTATGTTGCTTTGATTCCACTAATATTACATTCCATTAAGTTGCTTTCATCATTCTTCCAAAAATAAAATAAAAAGAAAAAAAATTGCTTCCATCATGATATACGTTCACATATATATATATATATATATATAAAATCAAAAACCCCGTTAATTTTGTCGAGTAGCAATATAGTTAGCAAAATGGTATAATGGGGCAGCCTTGACATGATCGAAGAAAGCAAGGCCTTGATTGGCTTCATCAACCAATTGGGCAGCAAATTTCTTGGCCTCGTCTATGCCCATCAGCTTGGGGTAGGTCGCCTTGTCACTCGCCAGATCCTTTCCGGCTGTCTTCCCCAGTTCCTCTGAGGACTTGGTCACATCCAGTATATCATCCACCACCTGAAACAGCAACCCGATAGACCTGGCATATTTCCTAAGTCTTTCGACACTTGTAGCATCTGCGCCTCCCATTATCGCCCCACAAACAACCGCTGCCTCTAAAAGCTTTGCTGTTTTATGGACATGAATATACTCCAATGTGCTCAAACTCACTTCTTTACCTTCACTGTCAATGTCCACAATCTGACCTGCCACAAGACCTTTTGATCCAACTGTTGATCCAAGCTCAGCAATGGCTTGGACCACACGGTCCGATGAAACATTCTTGGTGTTCCTAGCTACGTGCTCAAAGGCAAGTGATAGGAGTGCATCGCCAGCAAGAACTGCAGTATCTTCGCCGAATATTTTATGACTTGTGGGCTTACCTCGTCGGAGATCATCGTTGTCCATACAGGGAAGATCATCATGGATTAATGACATGGTGTGGATCATCTCCAGTGCACAAGCCGCTGGCATTGCTAACCCCTCATCTCCTCCCACTAATTCACACGAAGCAATGCATAAAATTGGACGTACACGCTTTCCACCCGCGAGCAGAGAATATCTCATGGCTTCATTGATTTTCTGGGGATGTTGCAAGGGTACTGCCTCATCCAGTGCTTTGTTCACTTGATTTGCCTTGTTGATCATGTACTCCTTAAATTCGAACGCTGGTGAAGGGACCTTCTGTGACTTATTGCCCATTTCTTGGGATTGGAATGAGTGTTTGAAAGATGGGCTTGCAACATAGGTGGCTTGAATTTTCAAGGGCGTAAATTTGAGGTGGCCTAATGGGGTTCTCGGCTGGTTGTTTATGAGGCCATTGACGGGTTTTTTGAGGAGAAGCGAATTGTCATAGAAAGAGATTGTTGTAGAGAAGGCCATGACTGAGATGTGATTTTGGGAGAAGGTCAGATTGACTGTTAATGAGGCAGGTCTTCAAGAGGATTGTTGATGATGAGTGCTGTATTTACATGGTAGAAGATGACTGGAAAAGATGCTGATTTAGCATGGCTTATGAGTAATGATTATTCCTTTTTACATGGCTTTGGACCCTTGTGACAGCACTCTTGGCTTCACTCGCATGCTCCTAGAGGCATCAAAAAGTTTGGTTTTTTTTTTTTTAATTGAGATTTCAAATTTTATTGTAATTAAAATATGATTGGTGATTATTTGCTTATGCTTTAAGGGGAAGGCTGTGAAAAAATTATCTTTTTTATTAATATATTAGCTAAGATATCATAATTTCAACATAATGATCCAGCCTTTTCATTTCCTTAATATCATTGGTTCAAGGGGATGTTTGGGATTTTTAAAATGTATATTTAAAATTATTTTTTTATTTTAGATTTTTTTAATATGTTGGTATTAAAAATAATATTTAAAAATAAAAAATAATGCTTTTAATATATTTTTTTTGCAAATTGCTACACCATTCTAAAACTTCCTTTAAATATAAAAACTAGAATCTAAAAATAGTAATTAATTATTATAAACGCAGCTAAGATGCATTGCATTTTTAAGATTATTTAAAAAAAAAATTAGAGGTATTTAAAAATATAATTGTGATTATTTTTTAAAGTATTTTTTATTTAAAAATATATTAAAATAATTTTTTATTTTAAAAAATTATTTTTGATTTCAATCCATCAAAATGACGTAAGAACACCAAAAAATAATAATTTAAAATAAATAAAAAATAAAAATATTTAATTTTTTAAATATTTTTAAAACATAAAAATAAATTTAATCTCGAAGAATTATAATACATTAATTAGAATTTTATTATCAGTAAAATTCAATCAAAAAAGAGAGAGAGAGAGAGAGTTGTTCATTTATTTTGGAGGCTGGCCCGCATCTCTCCTACGCTTAAACGTTACCAAAATTTTTGTTTTCTTTCTATGAATGATAGCACAGAGAGAGAGAGAGAGAGAGAGAGAGAGCATGTAAATATGGAGACAAATGCAAAGTGAACGAGCCAAGTGCACTGCATTCTTCTTCTTTGAAACGGGATACACTCACTTGCTTTGACAGCAAATTATCAATTTTCTGTTTTTTTCTTTCTTCATGAGTTGACTTGTTTTACTGCTTAAGAATTTTATTAATTTCTTTCTATTTTAATAAGATTTTTAAATTATTATGCAGAGTATATATACCAAATAACTCTCCAGCTTGTTAAGAGCATCTCTAATAAAAAATATTATTTTAAAAAAATAAATTAATAAAATAATATTTTAAATAATATAATTATAGATTTTTTTATTATGTACATTTCAATGAAAAAAAGTAATTTGAAAAATCAATTTTATTAAAGTGGAATAAATAAATATTTTATTTTTTTAATAATTTTAATATTATTTTTTTCCACATAACTAAATTTAATTGGTTTATTTTATTGTTATCCTCATTTTATTAATTTTGATTTTTTTAAGAGGTATATAAAAATAGTATTTATATAAAAGAAAAGATATTTTATATTTTATTTGACTTTTCTTATAAAAATAAAATTAAAATATTAGTTTTTTATTTGTGGGTAGCCATTTAGCATCTCATGCTCTAATAATTAGTCACAGACTAGAAACTTAGCTTGCACCGTACAATACGGAAGATCAATTTTTAAAAATCCTAAAAAATAATATTAAAATGTCATAAAGTCAAAAATCTCATCTATAATACATCAAACATTTTAAAGTAGTGGTGACATACAGGATTATATATTAAAAAAAGGTGATATATTGAATTAATATGGATTAGTTAAGGTTAATTAATGAAATCTATAAGTTAAAATATAAGACTGTAATAATATAAAATACCTTAAACCAAAGTAAAATAAAACTAATATTACAAAATCTTGTAAGTTTGAAATAAAAAAAATATTTAATTTGAAAAAAATAACTCATGTAAATGTAATCGGTGGCATATACTATATTACATGTTGATAATGATAGTATTTTTTTTAAAAAAAAAATTAAGACTTAATTTATTGATTTAACTAAATCTAATAAATTTGATTATTTTAAAAATATAATAAAAATTTAAAAATAATTGTTCTTGATAAGTTACCATGTATTTTTTTTTTTAATATAGCTGAGCAGTTTACTTGTTGTATATTTTAACTACTCTTTTTAATATTTTATATGTATTAGAATATTAAATTGCCATTTTTTTTACCCGGCAATAACAAAAGAAAATTGCTAAGATAAAAGTACAAAAACAACATGAGTGTTCAATTAAAGAAATCTCCCATTTAAGGCTAATTAAATTTTACCAAATTGTAGTGTTAAAAAGTAAAAAATCAAACATATTCTTAGATGCTAGTTGATTGAGGTTTTTATTGCTGGAAAAAAGAAGAAGAAAAAATAACATTAACACATTGTTTTCTAGGTTTTTTTTTTTTTAAAAAAAAGAAAGATAATGAAGAAGAATGAGAAGATAAATCTATCCTCCACGCAGTGAGTTAGGCTCATGTACACAAAAGGCCTAGCTGCTACACTAGTATCCTTCCTAGACAATTCTCCAATTATACGTCATTTGGGTTAAGCAAAGTTAATTTAATTCAGTTTAATTTTTTTCTATTGTATAAAAAAGTAAAAATAACATAATTTTTTTAAAAAATTAATGAGTTTCATCGAGTTTTAACTAAGTTTTTCATGAGTTGATGGATCACCTGAATTATTAATCAGATTATATTATATTAATCCTTTTATATTTTACTAAAATCTAACCTAACCTAACCCTGGCCTTGATTACTCAAGTTAAGAGCCAACCTGTGGGGTCTAGTTTTAAAACGCTACACTAGACAAGAGTACTATCACTCAACTTCCTCAATCTCGTCCAAAAACAAGGTCCATAAAGTTCTGAAGTTTTTCTCAATCACTCCCGCTATTGTTATCGTATTTCTCTCTGAAAAAGTTCCTATTCGATGATAATCTAACAGGGAATATCAAAAGAAGGACCAAACTGAGAAATATAAAAATTTAGGAACCCTATAGACAAGATTCCTACTTTTAGGATGAAATAAGAATTAATCACAATAGAAGGGACTAATATGAAGTTTGACTGAATTCAACGTGACGGAAAACATGATCCACTTTTGTTTCTCTTTCCCTCTCTTCTCCACCCCTCTCCCTCCCTTGAGAGGGTTCATCTCTTCCCTACCCTTCTCCAAAAGCCACCATCTTTTACACACATTCCCATAAAAAAGACGATACTTCTAATGAGAATCTGTACTTTATTTCTCCTGTCTTCTTGTTCCCCTGCCCACGGGCTCAATCCTCTTCTCTTCTATGAACGACGCCGTTGCCCCATCAAATTCTCTCACTTCCGTTTCAATCTTCTTACCAAACCCAGATTCTTTACAGGTGATTCCATTGTTACTAACCGTAAAGTTTGAATCTTTTTAAATTTAAAACTTTGAATTCTGAATTGGGACTATAAAGTTTGATACTTGGGATTGTGTGAAGTGTCAAAATTTGATTTTGTGTATAATGGAAAATGGGTTTTTGTTTTTGTTAATTAACATCTGCCTTTAGTTCAGTTTGAGAGAAAATTGAGATTATAAAGTCTGAAACTTCTGATATGGACTGTAGTCTAATGTGATCAACGGCTGGTAATAATCAACTGTATTGAGTGTCGACGTGATTAGTAGGATTTTAGAATATCAATCCAATTAGTTGATCAGCTGGTGAAAAGATTATCCGTAGCTAAAAATGGTGTGATTGTTTTAACAAATTTGGCAAAGAAGAATACAATTCAGAGTTTACTTTTCTCTCTAGTTCTTTCTTTCAAAACCATAACTGTCAAGGGATGAAATCGCTAAGTTCTTGAAAAATTTGTACTGAAGCGAGGATCGAAGGGTGAAGTAAAGCTGTAATAACGGTGGAAGGTACAAGAATAAGGGTTCTTGAAGATCATTGTTAAGCATGTCGAAGCCTGTTAGAGCATTTCTTGATTGCCTTGGATAACTAACTATGCTAATAATTTGAAAATGTTAATTTATGTATAGAAATGCATTTTTATATGTTAGTTTGTGAATTTGTTGAATAGCAATAAGAAGAAATTTAATACTTGTTTCGTTTTGGTGATAAAACTGGTTTTTGTTGAAGCTATATTTTAATTTTTGGGTTTGTTTATAAAATTATTTTTGTTAGCTTAATAGCATTTTTATTGCTTTTTAGTTGCTGTTTCTGCAACAGAAAATGGTGTATTTACTTCCCCAGAAATTGCGAGGTCATTTGATTTTTCTTCAGAAGAACGAATTTACAACTGGTACTATTTCTTTGACCATACTCTAGTTTCATCTTACATTCTGTAAATATGTTACTTGATAGAATTTTCATATGCAAATGGTGCTGTGCTTCTTCTAAATGTGTCTTAGCATATGTTCATTCATTGGTAACATCATCTAATTGTTGGATGCTACGTGGGAATCTCAAGGAATTTTTAAGCCAAGTTTTGACCGGGGCAGTGATCCTTTTGTGGTTTCAATGCTACCTCCAAATGTTACTGGTTCATTGCACATGGGGCATGCAATGTTTGTGACTCTTGAGGTTTGGAACTGAACTCAAACTAATTGATTTATGACCTGAACTTTCATTTGTCTTTCCTGTACATCATATTAGGATCACACAACAGCTTTTGATCCACCGCTCAGCTAGGGTGCTTGGTAATGGTGTTGCTGACTGCCCATCACTCAACAACCTTTCACAGAAATAGCTTAGATCAGGCTCAAGAAAAACAGGGTATGTATGTTGGGGGGAGGGGGGAGGGGGAGTTGCCTCCCAGTAGCTTTTTGCCCTCCAAAGAACAAAATATCAACTGCATGTAGAGTGCAGACACCTAGTTTGCCTCCTTAGGCCATCCTTCTAAATGGTAGGTGGAAATTATAACTCACTATGGACATTACACTCCTGTTGATGCTTATCCATTGTTTGATCATTGGCTGTGGTTATGTAGCTGTTGCTTTTAAGAATTGTTCTAACTTTCGCTTCATTTTTGGTTAATGAATCAGTTATAGTGAAAAATGGTAGCTGTAGCTGCTATTTATCTGGCATGCAGAGAAGATGTTTGAAGCTTTCTTCAAAGAATAAACAGGGAAAAAAAAGTGAATACCATATCTTTCTGGTTCAAATATAGGGATACAATAACTATGCAAATGAGAAAATTTTTGATCGTAAGATATAAGTGATACAACATGGAATGATTGTCTGAATATAATCATCCAAGGCTTATAGCAAAAGCAAATGCTATAGAGGCCCCAAAACTGCTGACTTTACTGTGAATGATGAAGAATTCTGGAGATACATTATTCTTGAAAGTTCCTTGTCTTAAGGAAAGCAAATTTTAAAACCAACAACTATGGTAATGTAATAGATCCCCTTGATACAATCAAAGAGTTTGGCACTGATGCTCTACGATTCACTATTTCTCTAGGAACTGCTGGCCAGGTTTCTCTCCTGTCTTATAATCCTTTAAACTGCTCCTTCAAGACTAATGGCATTTTCTGAAGGAAAAAAAATACACGGAGCCAATCTGCCTCCTGCATGTGGATGGTTTAAAACTTACAGCAGATGCTATTTTGTTTACTAATATACGTGCTTTTAGACCTAGGACCTTAATTTGTCTACTGAGAGGTTGACTGCCAACAAGGCTTTCACCAACAAACTATGGAATGCGGGCAAGTTTGTGCTGCAGAATTTGCCTAGTCAAACTGATGTATCTGCTTGGGACGCTATAATGGATTATAAGGTCTCTTTATCCTCTTTGAGAGGACATTGGTTTTTTTGGTGTCACGTTTTCTATGCTTACTGTAGGCATTGCCCTGTTCGGTAAACTGAACAAATTTTATTCTTCTTGCAGTTTGACAGAGAGGAGTCTGTTTGCAGGCTACCTTTACCAGAATGTTGGGTGGTAAGAAAATAGCTATGAAGCATCATATCCATTGTCAAATCTCTATAGTTAAACTAATATCCTCGTTTAATTTCAGTTGTCAAAACTTCATGTGCTTATTGACATGGTCACAACCAGCTATGACAAGTTTTTCTTTGGAGATATTGGGAGAGAAACTTATGATTTCTTTTGGAGTGATTTTGCTGATTGGTACATTAAATCTATCTAGTTTTTCTTTGGAATACTTTTACCTTTTAATGGAGATACTGTAGACAATAAATAAATTTTCTGTTCCTGGAATCTAAAACATGAGCCTTATATGTAATTATCTCAATACATAAAGCACTTAATACATGTGAGAGGCTGCACTTTGGTAGAAAGATAGAGATTGAGATTCAGTGCATGTATGTACGTATGAACTATGTCACATGGTTTTCAGCATTATCATTTTCCTGTTTTGAAGGGTAAAATTTTCATTCACTAACAGGCTAGTTCTTAGAACAAATTTTTTAGATAAAGTGGCAACTGATCCCTTAAAACGTTGGATTCACAGAGTGGGGAAATATAGGGTAATGAGTTCTTTGTTTCCTTTTTTCATTCCTTATTGGTGAAACTCATGGTTTTTTCTTGTCTTGTGCATGTACATTCATGCTTGCTATTATGTGCATAGATGTAGAACTGTAGATAAATTTGGTGCTTGTTATACTCCAAATGTAGCTTTCTTTTGATGTCTTGCTTTTTTGGTTTAAAGAGTTTAGCTGTTTCCATAGTTTTATGCCTTCTCTTTAGCCAGGTGTATTGAAGCCAGTAAAGCTCGCCTTTAACATTTTGGAGCTGATTCAACTTCTTCTGTGGCACAGGCTGTTCTATTGTATGTTTTTTGAAAATGTTTTGAAATTGCTACATCCGTTCATGCCATTTGTCATTGAAGAACTGTGGCAGGTAACAATTTTGTAGCATATAAGCCATGTCTACTCTGCCCTAAACTTTATTATTAGAGGTCACATGAGCATTTATTCTCAACCCATCTTTTATTCAACTGAAATGGACTCCTCATTTAAGTAACTTTGTTGGTTTTGACGTTTGAGTTTAAAGATCACTTTTTTTTATTTTAAAAGTTGATATTATGTGTTCAAGTTTAAAAATCACTTCTTTGAGTTTGAAGTTGATGCAGTTTGTTCCTTGTGATGTCACTTTTAAAAGTTGACAATATGTTTCACTTTATTGATTCTTGACTTCCTCCAATTTATACACAGGCACTCCCTGAACGGAAAGAAGCACTTATAGTATCTCCTTGGCCCCAGACTTCACTTCCACCTTCGGAGCTACATAAAAAAATTTACACTCAATTGGTTAATCTGTGACAAAATTTTTATATATTTCTCTCTCTTTTTTAACCACAAGAATAATGAATCCATCTTTACTTATGAATTAGACTAGAGCAATTCGCAATGCTCAAGCAGAATACTTAATTGAGCCAGCCAAGCGTATATCTGCATCTATAGTTGCAAGTGAAGAGGTTATCCAATATATATCTGTAAGTGCACTCCATTTCCTTAATCTGTATTGTAGGTAGACATTAGTGTGCTGTTTTAACTAGAGATTTAGCTTTCATAATCAAGAGAGGATATAAACATTCTTTCTTATTCCTTGAGTTTCATTGGTCTGGCATTGTAAAATTTGAACCTTTACGATCCAAATCCATTTGTCTCATATGCTGTCTTTTCTTCCATCTCTCCAAACACCTCCTGAGCTCATGGCCAAGGCCCCTGGCCAAAAGAAATCCTTTCTTAGTGCAATAGAGATATTAACCATTCTGAAAAGGGAGGAATACAGATAAAACATGCTGCAAACAGACTGGCCTTCTGGTCAGTAAAGATAGGAAAAAGGATTCTTACTTGTATAAATTCTCAAACTTCCGCTGCCCAAACTGATTATAACATGTAAATGCCCTTTCATGCCAAGAAAACTAACACAAGTTATATTTTAGCACTTGAAGTGGTCTGGCCCCAACCATCCAAATAATTTTTTTTGAAGGATAGTGAATTATGCTCTCACTTATCTTTTTAGCTCTGTTTCTTTCATTAAATGTTATGTTTTCTATTTGATAAAAGAAAGGGTATTATGCACGGGATTCATCTTACCACTTCTTTGCATGCTGTTTATAAACATGTCATGGCTATATCATTCTTCTATTGCAATTTACAGATGTTTAGGCAAGGTGATTGAATAGTAGCCTTTTTAAGTAAGACACTTTGTAGCATGGCTGTTGAATTTGTGCATGTGCACACTAAGCATGGTAATAACAATCACTGTCAATGCAGAACGAGAAGGAAGTCTTGGCTCTTCTTTCCAGACTAGATCTACAAAATGTCCATTTCATAGATTCTCCTCCAGGCATGTTTATTTCCGCATTTTGTTTTCTTTCTTGTAAATGGGCCAGTTATAAATGACATATATTACTTTGCCTTCTTTCATTTTTCCTTTACTTATGACTGGCCTTTGAACTTTTAATTCTAAATGATGTATATTCCATTGTGCTTTAGGGGATGCAAACCAATCAGTACATCTGGTTGCCAGTGAGGGACTAGAAACTTATCTTCCTCTTGCAGATATGGTCGATATATCTGCTGAAGTAGAAGGCCTTTCAAAGCGCCTCTCCAAGATGCAAGTAGAGTATAATGGACTTGTTGCTCGTCTCAGTTCTCAAAAAGTATGAGCATCTTTCTACTCAACTTTTAAATGCGTTTATGCCCACAAATCTCCCCCTCAAAATAAGGGATTGCTGAACCGTGATCATTATGGATTTTGTATGATCCAAGGTTATAATTTTCTAGGCCCTAGCACATCTTGATGTTAAGTAAAGACTGCTAGTGCTAGTCTCTTACCCTAGGATAAATCTATTTTAACATTCATAGCTCTTGATAGTTTGTAACATGCTTACAATTTATCTCTCTTGATAGTTTGTAGAGAAAGCTCCCAAGGATGTTGTCCATGGGGTTCGAGAAAAGGCAGCGGAAGCAGAGGAGTAGATAGACCTCACCAAGAATCGGTTGGCTTTCCTGAAATCCTCTGTTCTGGTGTCGCAATAGGCTGTCTGGGTAGACTAAATTTCTTCTCATTGTCCAGATTAAATCCACAAAATTGGATTTATCTCATTTCTAGACCCGGTGCTCCATACAACCATCTGACATACACATCATCTACTTTCTGGGGGGACAGCGACGATTATGGATGACCATTTAGGACAGGATAGTGGAACAGTTGGATGTCCGGAAGTTTTGCATAAATTGAGTGTTGCTTTGCCTTGTTTAATGGAAGAGATTAAAGTACTTGACAAATTGCTTATAAGATTGTGCTCCTATCCATGATAATTTTTGTGCCATAGGTCACAGATAGAATTCTTGGCCGTCTAAATGTACAGTTATTCATCTACCACCGGAATTTCTAATTCTATTGGCCTGCATTTATCTTTCTACATTGTACAATAAATTCAATTCTATAGAATATTTTAGCCAAGTTGTCAATTTAATTTTGTTTCAATTGAAATAGCTAAAATATTTTATATCAATTTAAAAAATAAAACAAAACAGAATAATTTTTATCTCATTTTAAATTTATATTCATTCTAGATTTTTAGGCTAAAATATGATTGAAACGTTCTGGTTTCATTTTATTGAACGGAATGTTCCGGTTTCATTCTAGATTTTTAGGCTAAAATATGATTGAAATGTTCCGGTTTCATTTCATTTTTATTTCATTTTTTAAAAGTTATTGAATCAAATTGAACGTTCTGGTTTCATTTTATTTTTTAAAAGTTATTGAATCAAATTGAATCTTGTTCAATTTCATTAATTAAACTATTCAAGTATAAAAAACTAATTTTTATTATTATTTTCAATAATAATGATATTAATAATAATATTGAAAATTATTATTACTATTTAAATTAACAATGATATTAATTTTTTAAAATTAAATTTATCCTAATATATATATGGTTTATATTCATATTATTTTTTTCATGTTTATACTTTGTAGGAATTTAAGCAAAATAAAAAATGTTTTAAATTTTATTAATCTTAATAACATTGATCAAATTTTATATTTAAAATATTTGTGTTAAAACATTTTACTTTCATAATATTTTCATATTTTATTTAAATTGAATTATTTTAAGTTAAAGATCTATTTAATTTTAATTATTTAGAAATATTTTAAATTTTGAAATTATATTTCTTTGTCATTGTATTTGTATTATATAATTTATAATTAATTTATCTTGAATTTAAATTATATTTGTTATATATATATATATATATATATATATATAATACAACTTCAAAATCACACGCTAAAATATTCCAAAACTAAAATATTTTATTTCAATTAAAAACACAAAATACTTACGGAAATGAAATTAACAACTTGACTTTACCTTTACATGGATGTGCCTGCCATTTCGCCGCGTATCATGATCTGGCAGTCTTTTAGGCTTTGATGATTTGAAACCGAGTAAAACCTTTCATATTCTAAGTGGCCATTGTAATGCAGATGAAGAACGTTGTCACTGATCAATATGAAATTTATCAAGAATGAGATCGGTTTGATTGTAAATGTGAAAGAACTGCTACAGCCTTAATAATCTCAATCGCCAATTTACACTTTTAAATGCAGTTCAAAACTATGGATTAGCAGAAATTCCCTGGAAGCACCATCAGATGATTCCAAATTGTTGGCGTATAGCTGCTTGGCTGACAGTTTACTTTTTGGTTAAATCCCAAACCATTACTGTCTGATAAAGTCATTTATCCAATTCGTATCAAGAAAAGAAACGAGACCCATCAAACAAAATTTAAAAATTATTTCAAGTTTTTGAGGATTATTTACATAAGATTCAAGCAAAAACCTGCCAAGGCAGTTTGATGCTTCGACTTGAAAGCTCACACTATATTTCTCTAATCCAGCAAGAAGCCTTCCATATTCTATGTACTGGCACCAAAATAATGCGAGCAAAAAAGCTTCAATCCTTTAGAAACCATTTCGTTGTAAAGGTTAAGAGCCCTTCTTTTGTCACCCTTCTCGAAGTACACTTTAATCAATGCTTCATAAACATCCTCACGAGGATTTAGAGATCGACCTATCATAATTCTTAAATATTTTTCTGCTTCCTCTAGTTTTCCGCAATTGCAGAGGCCCTTAATCAAGGAAGTGAAACCCATTAATCCAGGAGAGAGTGAGCGATATTCCATTTCATAGTAAAGTTTGAGCATCTCCTGAATCTGATTGCTTTTTGCATAACCAGAAATTAGATTAGAGTATGTGATCTCGTCTGCTAAGAACCCTTCATCTAACAAATTCGTCAACATCTCATTTGCTCGTGTCACATCCTCTATTCTACACAGCTTTCCTACCATCTCATTGAAAGCTGAAAGGCTGGGAACATGTCCCATCTCCATCATTTTCTTGCAGTAACTCAAAGTTTCTTCTACTCTTCCTGCTTTAGCACAACCTTCAAGGAGAAAGTTAAAAGTGTCTTCATATGGTTTCAAACCCATGTTTTCCATTTCTTGCAACAACTGATTTGCTTCTTCAATTCTTTCCTCCTTACAATAAGCTCCTATAAATGAAGTGTACACAAAAGAATTTGCATTGAAACCTCGCTTAAGCATTTCCTCATAGACCTGCATTGCTGAGTTCAAATTTCCAAGCTTGACTTTAGCATAAACAATCAAAGAGTAAGCAACAGTATCCATAATCATGTTCTTTCGAAGCATCATTTTCAATAAAGCCAAGCCTGGTTCAACTCTCCCCTCCTCTAGAATCCTAAATACCAAACAAGTATTAACAATAACTACAGGAGAGCATCTCTTTCCATGGATCTTATCCAACATGTTCACAATTGTTTGCAACTTCCCTTCCTTACACAAAGCACTGATCATGCTTTCGATTGTTGCTTCATTTGGGTAAGTTCTTCGGTGAAGCATATGCTCATAAATCTTCCACGCCAGGGGACTTTTATCAGATTTTTGAACAACATGAATCAAGCTGTTGAAACTTATAAGGCTTAAGGTGAACCCATGTTCTTCTAAGCGGCAGCAAACATCAAAACCAATCTCAAACATTCTCAGCTTCACATAAGCCTGAACCAGCAAATCAAACACTAAGGGGCTTGATATAATAATCTTATAACTACTAATGAGGGAATCCACAACCAAAAATTTTGTAGGATCCCCTACACTTTTCTTCAGAATTGATTCAAGCAATGCCTGAGCATCCATTATCAGCCGAGCTTGAATTAATACGTGAATCATCAGACAATATGATTGAACCCCATGTACAAAATTCCTTCTTGCTGACCAATGAAAGAAGCCTAGAGCCCGTTTTGCATCGGTTGGTTCCTTCAATTCCAGCAGTACATTTTTGACAAGCAAATTGTTGAGCTGAAGAGACTCGAATTTTCTATTCAGGGTATCCCAGTTGTACCCTCTCCTTAATGAATCACATATGGAGCTTACAACTGTATCACTTTCTGTTTTTGTGCCATCATGAAGAAATCTAGCCACCTCAAACCAAGAACTGCAGACATGTGGATGAATGGAATACTTGAGTGGTGTTGAAATCAAAGATGGAAAAGTTCGACGCAGCAAAGCCATGCTCTTGCCAAAGTTTTACCTAATCAATCAGGACAAAGTATCGGATGAGACATGAACTCTATTAGGATTGTACATCTTGACAAATATTATGAAGTGCTCAGCTCTTACCTTTGGAACAAATTGCAAGACATTCTGCATCGGCAACTAACATGTAACTGTAACATCTTCAAGTATCAAATTGAATAAAAAAGAAAAAGCTTGATCAAAGTTCAAGCCAAAAGATTTTCTCCTTAAACTTCCACATTTCCGTTGCCAGACAAAATCTCAGAATTAGACACATTCATACATTTATTCACCTTCACAGAATTTTCAAACATTCAGCTGCTACCAATTTGCAAACCATGGGCATGTGGGTGCGGGTCACTAAGCACAATTGTTCCTCAAAAGTTTGAATTTTTCTTTCTCATTTCTATATATCTCCATATAACAACAAAACCCATGTCCTTGCTTCAAAGAACTATTGAGAAAGGCAATAAAAATCTCGAAACTTCAAAAGTATAGAGAGAGAGGAACCTGATAAGTAAGCAGAGTGATTCCTTCTACTTTGTCAGTGCTTGAGAAAGACAGAAAGCCCTCACGAATCCTTGTGAAATTTCTGCCCGCTCCTCGATGGTTTTTGTTTTGCTTTAAGTTTAGAGGCTTTGGAGAGGGAAGAGGGAACAGGGAACAGGGAAGAGAGAGCTTAGGCTTTGGAGAGGGAACAGGGAACAGGGAAGAGAGAGCACTACAAACAGAGGGATTTAATGAAGGGATGGTGTCCCATTCATTGATATTGCTTGATTTTATTGTTTCGTAGGTCAATTATTTTTTTAAAAAATAATTTTTTTAGAAAATTTTCTATGTCCAATGTTAATCTGATTATATTTTTATTGAATTAACCAATTCTATGTCCAATGTTGATCTGATTATATTTTTATTGAATTAACCAAGTTTTATGAAGTGAAAATCTAGTTAATCCAATATTCATCTCAAGTTAGTTCCATGTCTTACAAGATTTGGTTCAACAAGATGTAACAAACTACACGGCTAAATCATCTCTTCTACTTTGCCAAGAAGCTGGGTTTCGTACATGGTAAAATCAAGAACTAAACCTTTACAAAAATTATACTAAAAATAAGTTTAGTTGGAGTCATGCCAAGAACAATCGCTTAAAAATTGAATGTGTAGACAGATGACAAATTTTATTGCTCATGAGATTTGGAGATGCACACTTGACATGCATATCTCACCCATGGTAGATGTTTCTCAAACAAAATGAAAACAGCATTTTTTTTCTTTTCACTAAAAATAGGCATAGGCTTTCAATCTAGCAAATCACATGCATCTCTCACCCGTGGTAGATGTTTCTCAAACAAAATGAACACAGCATTTTTTTTCTTTTCACTAGAAATAGGCATAGGCTTTCAATCTAGCAAATAGAATTTCTTTAAAAACTGTACATTTAATATTAAAGTTTATTAAACTCGGTCTGGCTCATAATTTTAGGAGTTATATATATTAACATGAGTTAATTAAATAATATTTTTTAAAATTTAATAATATAAATTTAAGAAAAAATCAAATCAAATTTTAATTAGATTACAATTTGATAATTAAAATTAGTTTCAATTTTTCTCATGACTCTCCGATTTAAAACAAGTATAATTCACTTAAAAATAGAAGAAATTGACCCTAAAAATAAATCAACAGAAAAACTGTCTCTCATCTCCTTAGTGCTTGCCTGTACATGTAAGGTGGAGAAATCTAATTTTGGAAACCAAAAATTGATGATATAGACAATGCCACTAACAACCTTCACTCCTCACATAACCTTACCATACAAAGAAATTGATGATATAGACATGCCACTAACAACCTGCTCATCCTTTTCTATTCACTCCTCACATAACCTTACCATACAAAATCAGTCTAAACTGCAAGTGAGCTTCTGGTTTAATGGTGGGAGGGACTTGTCCCCTTCCTCCGCCATGATTATCTTTTAAAAATATTTAAAAGTATAAGAGTAATTATTTTTTCAAGTATTTTTTTTAATATTTTTTCAAAAATACTTTTTTCATTAATGTATAAAATATCAAGAAATATACTGCGGTGTCTTATCTGCTCACTGGGCTTGCAGGATATTCAGGGAGCCGTGGGGATTAGTCGTGGGGCTCGTAAGCTGGCCCGGACACCCCACATAAATCAAAAAAAAAAATCAGTCTAAACTCATAATTATCTTTTAAAAATATTTAAAAGTACAAGAGCAATTATTTTTTCAAGTATTTTTTAAAAAAATATTTTTGTCATTAATGTATAAAATATCAAGAAATATATAAAAAAATTAAAACACAAAAAAAATACTAGCTGTTTTTTTTTTATTATTATTATTTTAATTTAGCATCCAAATCCACAATTTACCGGACATTTCACCAAACCAACACCGTCTTCAAATCTCTCGTCTCAACATCCCTCACCCTCCTAAAATCAGCCCATAAACTCTCTCGCACTCCCCATACTCGAAAGTCCCAGATCCTCTCAAGCCTTGATATCAAACCCTAACCCCCCCTTCTTGAACCAAAACATAGCCATGGACTCCACCCCAGTCCCACAACATCTCCCCTTTAAACCCTCTTCCTCTTCTTCGGCCTCCAAACTCCCCATCAAACGCAAAACACCTGATTCTCTCCACCATCACCACCTCCTCTCTCCAAAACTTGAAACTTCCTCCACCACCACACCAACCACCACAAACCCAGATGCAATCTCCACTCCAGCCACTAATTCTGAATCAAAGCCACCACCTTTTAAGTTCCACAGAATCTGGTCTGAGCCTGATGAAATTAGCTTCCTTCAAGGCCTACTCTCTTCATCCTCTCAAGGCCTCTCATTTCCTAAAGACTTGCACTTTTTTTATGACAGATTCTCCAATTCAATGTCACAACCTTACACAAAATCTCAGCTTTCTGAGAAAATGAGAAGGCTGCGTAAGAAGTTTCGCAGTACGTCTTCGCGCCTTGCGCGTAATGGGTTCAATTATTCGTTATTATCGCCTCATGATCGTTCTCTTTATGATCTCTCTAAACAGCTTTGGAGCCCTGAATTTGCTTCAAGCTCGCCTTTTGGAGGTAATAAGAGTACAGGTAGTAATAGTAATAGTAATTTTGATGGTAATGTGAGTAGTTTTCGTCCTGATAATGTTAAAAGGACGAAACTGGATGAGGGTTTGGGGGGTGTTAATGGTAGTTTTTTGCCGGTTTTTGCTTTGCCTTGCGAAAATGTAAATGTGAGTAATGAATTGAATGATCTGGAGTCGTTGGATTTGGATGAATTTGATGATGGGTATGTTGTGAAAATGAGGGAAGGCAATGCGGGGTGGGAGGTGGATAAGGCGGTGAGTGGACGTGGAGGTGGCTGCGGTAGTGTGGCAGTAAAGAGTGTGGCTAAGAGTGTTCTAAATGTGTTTGACGAGTGCGTAAAGGAGGTCAAGAAGGTTGTTCTTAAAGAGAGGTTGGATAGTTCTATGGAAGGGAAGAAGGAGAAGGATTTTCAAAGGAGGTGGAGGGAGCAAAGAGTTGCTGAGTTTGATGTTTTGGCTCTTCGGTTGAGGTTGCTTCTTGACAATTCTGCTAAATAGGCAATGACTTTGTTGACTTGTGAGTAGATTTCCTTGTGCATTCTCTAATGCAGGCTATTTTTTTAATTTATATTTTTGTAAGTAGTTACATGTAATTATTTACGGGAAATTAAGGTAATGAGAGTCCATTCATTCCTATCATATGATTGTGCTAGTTGTCTCTGATAAAAAAAAATTTCCCCTGTTCCTCTTTGTTGGTTACTAATCTTGCATTATGCGGTTCATGTAAATACAACGAGTTTTACAATTTATTTGAGTTTGGCTTGTTTCCTTATGTTTAATTGCTATAAACTAGATGCCAGGTATTGTCCCATTGCCACCCCACAGAGAAGGACCAAATAATCCACGGGAGAACCTGCAATAGTGAGACTGTGAGCTTGAAACTCTTACCTGTGTATGCTGTAGAAAATTGAGGCCCAGGGAAGTCATCTGCTTAAGTTCAAGCTCGATGAAGCATCTTGAGACTTCATTGAACAGGAGAGAAGCAATTTTTTTCCACCGGTGATCCATGAGTTCAAATTAATTTGAACCAGTGATGCTTCATTTTGATGTTGAAATAGTTAGCATGCTTCAAATTGAACCAAGTCATAAAGAGTAACTGAACAGTCAGCTAATCAGATAATAAAGTGGTTCGCGTGCTCGAAATGGAACTCAGCGTTGGTTCTTACTGATGGTTTCACCACTTAATGGAGCCTTCTGATCAATTGATCAACAAATAGGCTTGAAATTTAGTTAATTGGAAATTGGTAAACCTATTCACGATTGTTACAAACAGTTTAATTATGTGTATAGTCTGTGAATCTGCTTGGACAAACAATTATGTGTATAGTCTGTGAATCTGCTTGGGAGGGATGCAATATTGTTGTTAAAGGAGAACAGTATCTTTTGGAGCTTCAGCTATATGTTTCATCTGTCAAATAGCAATGTAGGAAGCTTCCCAGTGTAACGAAAACACACAGCCCATGAAACAGGTAAATGAACCGTAGCTCAATTTGCATGTTTTCTGATTTCCTGCTGAACTCTATTATTCTGTAGGCAGGAAAAAAAGCATACCCCATGAAAAGGTGAGGTAGAGGTTTCTACTTTCTGCAATGCTGAAAATATTCTTGTTGCAGGTGGTGAGTGATAATTTTGACAGCCGTTACAATAGCTGTGGGGATTACTGCATGAGCTCCATGTTTTTTGACTACGTAAATTGTTCTTTCAATTTTAACCCTCACGTGCATAGTTTGGTTCTTAAACATGGATCAAGTTTTGGTTTTGGTTTGCAAACAACTGGAATTGAGTAAGAATAAGCTGTCAGGCGTACTGTACTGTACATCCTAGCTATGTTTGCTTGGTAGTTTCTCAATCTCATGCACAGATCCATCCTGTAGCAGCAGCATACAACTTAATATTTGAAATATTTTATATTTTAAAAGTTTTTTTAAAAAAAATTGAAATATTTTTATATTTTTTCTTTAAATTAATATTTTTTTATATTTTTCGATCATTAGATTAAAGAAATTTAAAAAATATTATTTTAATATATTTCTTAATAAAAAAAATTTAAAATTTTTAAAAACAAACTTTCAAATACGTTTTCATGTTATAACATGACATTTCTTGTTGAAAACAAGCAAGGGTTCAGGAGAGCCATTGTACATGGATTGTACGACATTCTTGTTTCTGTGTATCTTTGGATTGAGGCAAATCTTGTTTATATTTTTTTTATTTTTTAAAATTAATTTTTTATAGTATTTTTTAATTGTTTTAATATGTTGATATTAAAAATATATTTTAAAAAATAAAAATTCATTATTTGTCGCTATCAAAGATAATAGTTTAAACCAATATACTCACTCATTTTCAGTTAATTACCAAACCTATAGATTTTATCAATTAGGTCCCCAAAATTTCAAAAACCTAAAATGGTAATGCTCATTAACTTTTTCATCAAATCAAATGCCGTTTTAGCGCAAAAACATATGCAAATTAGACTTGAACTTGACAAAAGAAAACAATTAATAAATATATAAAACTTATGATATTTAATTAACAAATCCTATAAATTTAGGATGTAATTGACAATAAATATATTGGTTTGGGACTGAATCGAGGTTTCCTTTATTTTTTTCAATTATTAATTATGCGAGAGAAAGCTATATTCGATAACGTCGCCGTTTTCCCGCTTATACCATATCTCTCTGCCAGCAGAGTAGTGTTTAAAAACTGGACGACTCCACCCAGTTCTGCTCCACAGTACTGCCACCTCAGCTGCTCCTCCCTCCCTCTCTTCCTCAATCATCCTGTAAGTCTCTCTCGCTCATTTCCCTTGAATCAATCCATCGCGTTATAGCTACCTAATTTTTCATCTCTCTTGTTTTAATTTGGATTGTTATTTATTTTGTTGATAGATTGATCGATCATTTGATGGGAAGTTTGAAGAAAAAAGAAGAAGAAAAGCTTAGATTTTGTATAGATAGAGGCGGAACGTTTACCGATGTGTATGCGGAAATTCCAGGCAAGAGTGATGGCCGGGATTTGAAACTGTTATCTGTTGATCCGGCGAATTATGAGGATGCTCCGGTGGAAGGGATTAGGAGGATTCTTGAGGAGTATACAGGAGAGAAGATTCCCAGAACCTCCAAAATCCCCACGAATAAGATTGAGTGGATTAGGATGGGGACCACTGTAGCTACCAATGCCTTGTTGGAGAGAAAAGGGGAGAGGATTGCCTTGTGTGTCACTCGAGGGTTTAAGGATTTGTTGCAGATTGGTAATCAGGCTCGTCCGAATATCTTTGATCTTACGGTTTCGAAGCCCTCCAACCTTTATGAGGAGGTTATTGAGGTTGATGAGAGAGTTCAGCTTGTTGTTGATGAGAGTGGGGATGATGGTTTGGGTTCGGTGGTTAAAGGGGTGTCAGGTGAGCTTGTGAGGGTTGTGAAGCCGGTTGATGAACAAGGTTTGAAGCCTTTGTTGAAGGGGTTGTTGGAGAGAGGGATTAGTTGTTTGGCTGTTGTGTTGATGCATTCCTATACGTTTCCACAACATGAATTGGCTGTGGAAAAGCTTGCTGTTGATTTGGGTTTTCGACATGTTTCTTTGTCTTCGTCTTTGACTCCCATGGTTCGAGCTGTTCCTCGGGGGTTAACTGCTAGCGTGGATGCGTACTTAACCCCAGTTATCAAGGATTATTTGTCAGGTTTTATGTCGAAATTTGATGAAGGGTTGGGTAAAGTGAATGTTTTGTTTATGCAATCGGATGGAGGGCTTGCACCGGAAAATAGGTTTTCAGGACACAAAGCTGTTTTGTCTGGTCCTGCAGGTGGAGTTGTTGGTTATTCGCAGACACTTTTTGGGCTTGAAACAGAGAAGCCCCTTATTGGATTTGATATGGGTGGTACATCTACTGATGTAAGCCGTTATGCTGGGAGTTATGAACAGGTCCTTGAAACCCAGATTTCTGGTGCCATTATACAAGCACCTCAACTTGACATAAGCACTGTTGCTGCTGGTGGTGGATCAAAGTTGAAGTTCCAGTTTGGAGCTTTCCGGGTAGGACCAGAATCAGTGGGTGCTCATCCTGGCCCAGTTTGTTATCGTAAAGGTGGGGAATTGGCAGTTACTGATGCCAATCTCGTTCTAGGATTTGTCATTCCTGATCATTTTCCATCCATTTTTGGCCCCAACGAAGATCAGCCTTTAGATATCCAGGCAACAAGAGAAGAATTTGAGAAGCTTGCCAATCAAATAAACTCCTATAGGAAGAGCCAAGATTCATCTGCTAAGGACATGACTGTGGAAGAGATTGCACTGGGATTTGTGAATGTTGCAAATGAGACAATGTGCCGTCCGATACGGCAGTTGACAGAGATGAAGGGCCATGAAACAAGGAACCATGCTCTTGCTTGCTTTGGAGGTGCTGGCCCACAGCATGCTTGTGCTATTGCCAGGTCGTTGGGCATGAAAGAAGTACTTGTTCACAGATTCTGTGGGATCTTGAGTGCGTATGGCATGGGCTTGGCGGATGTTGTTGAAGAGTCACAAGAGCCATATTCTGCTGTTTATGGCCCTGATTCCATCTTGGAGGCTTCCCGTAGAGAAGATATGTTACTGAAGCAGGTAAGGCAGAAACTACAGGAGCAAGGGTTCAGAGAGGAGAACATTACAACAGAAACATATTTAAACTTGCGGTATGAGGGCACGGATACTGCCATCATGGTAAAGAAACATGTCAATGAAGATGGGTCAGGGTCCGACTATGCAGTGGAGTTTGTGAAGCTATTCCAGCAGGAGTACGGATTCAAGCTAAAGAATAGGAATATTCTTATATGTGACGTCAGAGTTCGTGGTGTTGGAGTCACTAACATACTGAAGCCTCGAGTACTGGAACCCACTTCTGGTACCCTGGAAGTGGAAGGCCACTATAAGGTTTTCTTTGGGAGTGGTTGGCTAGATACACCTCTATACAAGCTTGATAATCTGGGTTGTGGACACATCATACCTGGCCCTGCAATCATTATGAATGGAAATAGCACGGTGGTAGTGGAACCCCAATGCAAAGCTATCATAACGGTATATGGAAACATCAAAATTGAAATTGAGTCTAACATGGGCACCGTGAAAATAGCTGAAAAAGTTGCAGATGTTGTGCAGCTCTCAATTTTCAATCACAGATTTATGGGAATAGCTGAACAAATGGGACGGACACTACAGCGAACTTCCATATCAACAAATATCAAGGAAAGGCTAGATTTCTCTTGTGCTCTCTTTGGCCCTGATGGGGGACTAGTTGCTAATGCCCCCCATGTCCCTGTGCATCTTGGAGCCATGTCCAGTACTGTTCGGTGGCAGCTCCGTTATTGGGGAGAAAATTTGAATGAAGGTGATGTTTTGGTCACCAACCATCCTAGTGCTGGAGGTAGCCATCTTCCTGACATAACTGTCATCACACCTGTGTTTGATACTGGTAAGCTGGTTTTTTTTGTTGCAAGTAGAGGACATCACGCAGAGATTGGGGGTATTACTCCTGGAAGCATGCCTCCCTTTTCAAAGTCAATATGGGAAGAAGGAGCTGCAATTAAAGCATTTAAGCTTGTAGAAAAGGGGATTTTTCAGGAAGAGGGAATTGTTAACCTTCTCCAGTTTCCTGGTTCTGATGAATCAGCTCATAAAATCCCTGGAACTCGCCGGCTTCAAGACAATTTATCAGACCTACATGCACAAGTAGCTGCAAACCAGAGAGGTATCTCCCTTATCAAAGAACTGATTGAGCAGTATGGTTTGGAAACTGTTCAGGCCTATATGACTTATGTACAGCTAAATGCTGAAGAAGCAGTAAGGGAAATGCTCAAATCAGTTGCTGCTGGAGTTTCATCCCAGTCAGACAAGTTTGGAGAGAATAATATTGTAACTATAGAAGAAGAAGATAGCATGGATGATGGCTCTGTCATACATCTGAAACTAACTATTGATTCTAATAAAGGGGAAGCATTTTTTGATTTTAGTGGGACAAGCCCCGAGGTGTATGGGAATTGGAATGCACCAGAAGCAGTAACAGCTGCTGCAGTCATATACTGCCTCCGCTGTTTGGTGGATGTTGATATTCCTCTCAACCAAGGTTGTTTAGCCCCAGTTGGAATCCATATTCCTAAAGGCTCATTCCTCTCTCCAAGTGACAAGGCTGCAGTTGTTGGAGGTAATGTTCTCACATCTCAGAGGGTAACAGATGTTGTACTTACTGCCTTTCAGGCCTGTGCTTGTTCTCAG